GATATGTATGCAAACGCGTTTTCCTAGTTTCAGACCCAAGTTACGCGTGCTTCTGATACGTCAGAATTGTTTCCATCCTCCTACTCAACTTGGAATTTCTGTAGAAGATGTTACAAAACATGATTGGTTAAACTTATTCGATTCGGAATGTCGAGAACAATCTAGTACTATCAACACTACGGGTATAATCCTCGCGGTTCCCACACCACTCGCCATTTCACAATTCGCATACATTCACTGTGAAAGCTCCCGCATATAATTTTACACTATTTTGTCTACACAACGCTGGTTGAGGGAGTATTCAACGAGCCCGAAATCACTTCTGACGGTAACCGGACATGACACCAGAGAATAGCGATTATATACGCGTTACAATGAGTGAAAGAGCACAATGTAGATTTTTTAAGTCGTGCTGTTTCAATCCCGAAATGCTACTTTGCAACTCAGCCTCCCACATTCAGTCAATTCAAAGTTACCGCCTACCGACTGTTTTCTAAATCTGAGAACAAGAAGAATAATTGATTGGTACGATGACAAGAACAAACTGCATAATTCTTCCTAAACGGAACAATGCACAATGTTTGTCTATAAAGACCTCTTCTTCAGATTCATTCTGCAATGCCGACTATTTCTTCTTTGCCGGAGACAACAGCTGTGTATGGAGATATCGAATTCCCTAGTGTTCGAATGACCGCAACTAATGACGAATCCAAAATTCCTCTTAGTACCTCATTACTTATGCTTAATTCGAACACTTATTTGTATTCAGCTAACCCGCTGTACAATATGACCGGATGATTTACCGATCCTTTTCGAGGTTTATTTAGCAGTATTACTGTTTATTATTATAGTATTGATTCATATTTTATAGCAATCCTTATTTCGACCTTGGCTACAACTGGGGTGATCTACTGTGGTAAGTGATTAAGTCTTCCACGCTAATAAGTTTATCCATGCAAGACGTATTGCGGTTGGCTTATTGGCGCATAAAAAAAGCAATGTTCAAAACATGCGAGTGATGGAATGAGCTGGATGGCTTAAGTGCCTATACAGTGTGCATATAACAATCCTAAAGATTCGCTAAGGCGGTGATGGCCTACTTCACACACCGGCACACAACCAGGTAGCACACGGAAGTTCGGGCGTATGGAAGCACGTTCTCTGTAAACGGTTCCACAGATGGCCGTATGACTTCACATGAACATTTGATTAAATCTGCCCGTGTTATAGTTTCCAGTTTCTCAATTTCTTTAATACATTCACTCCAAAAATCCATTCGGGAACCACTGTGAAAAACTCCAGTAACTACCTGCTTTATGCAATCCCGCTGTACATATTGATCAGATCACTCAGTTGGACTGTGCCTCCAACTGTCGAGGAATACGCCGTTTGCCTATTTATCTGATGTGTTGTGTAGTTCCAGTTGCGGTACTCGCAATTCGCACAATGGGAAAATGTATATTCCGAATCATCCTGAATAGCTTAAAGCATTCCACTTGCAGGATTCCTATTAAAATGTATTTGTCACGCCCGAAAGTGAAAACCCATGGACCCCATGATCCCAGAAGAAGTCATTTCACCGTGGTTATCGGAAACACATCAAGCTAGTCATCTAGGTCTATTGAACTTGAATCGTTTACGATGGTCAGAAGATGTCCACCGTATGTCCGTTGACCGTTTTCCCCGGCCTGCCGGTGCAATACGTAAAAAAATGTTGCAACTGAATTACAGTGAAAACATGCCATTTGAGGAGTGGGGGCGAGGCGTGGGTGCACTAATTACAAATATGCATAGATTATGTAGTTACATGGACAAGCACTCCTAAAGAGATGCATTTAAAAAAGAGGAAAAGTTGACAGAATCCTCGTCACTCTTCCTTACACGACCACACTTTCCTACTTTACTCGAGAAAGCATACATCACAGACATACTAATAATCGTGCATTATAGAGGAATTGGAAGCTGAGATTGAAATAAGCATTTTGTCTCCACTATCATATTCTGCTTACTCAGCCACGACCCTACCTTAAAGCCATAGCACACCGTGTGAGCTGAGAAGGAAACGCTGACTGAATCGATTCATTTGCATTCACTTATGTTACTCGATCTTGTCTTACTCAGCGCTATGCTTCCCTTGCTGTCCTCATGTAAACATGTCAGGCAGCAACGAGTATCTAATCGATTCTGCTTCCAATATCTTCCTCACCATTTTTAGTAACCCTTTTTCATTTTTCCTCTTACTCACTTACGCCTAGTGCATAGTCAAATCAAAACGACTGAGCCATTTGACCAAAACCAACCACATCGGCCTTACACATTGCAAACAAATCTTCAATTTTAAAGCAGTTAGTTCCCGTCAACAATTTGAAAAGCACGGAAAGAAGACGAAGGCTGGTAGATGCATGCATTTCGTATTGTCTCCTCAGTACCATTAACAATAACCGATATACATAGATATAGCTAACAGTGGGTGCAACCAGACAAGCTTAAGGTACAGAACGAATGACGGAAGTTCACACTTACGTCCAAGGCAGCTTTAGGCTAACAAATAATTTCTACGGAAATAGCCCAGGTGCCCTACTACAAACGATATGTTGATGATACCTTGGCTTTCTGTTCGTCGGAGCAGCAGCTCACACATTTGGTAGAACTGCTCAATGGTGCTCATGCTAACTTACGGGTTACATGCGAAATAGAACAGAACAATTATCTGCCATACCTGGACATACTCATAAGTCGCAGGGATGATGGATTGATTAAAAGATCCATTTACCGAAAATCAACTTGGTCCGGTCAGTACCTGCACTTCACCAGCTTCACACCAGTGCGTTCCAAACGGACGCTTGTGAAGACTCTAGTTAGTCGTGCCGGACGTATTTGTTCTGCCAACTGTCTGGACGATGAGCTAGTGTTAATTACAGCAATGCTAATGGCGAACGGCTACCCTCGAAGATTTATCGAGAAACACAGCCAACCGCGAGGGCCAAAGGACTTGGTGCACACGGCAGCCAAGAATAAAGTGTATATCGAGTTACCTTTAAAGGTGACTTAGACTCAGGTCACAGGATAGAGTTGGGCTCAGCGTTTAAAGTTGTGTCACATCACACTAATCCCCGCTTCCTTCGGTTTGCTGAGGCTGTCGCTATAAGCCGGAAAAAGCCAGTCTTGTGTGTTCAGAAACAATTATTTGTCAGCCTAAAGCTGCCTTGGACGTAAGTGTGAACTTCCGTCATTCGTTCTGCACCTTAAGCTTGTCAGGTTACACCCACTGTTATTTATATCTATGTATATCGGTTATTGTTAATGGTACTGAGGAGACAATACGAAATGCATGCATCTACCAGCCTGTCTTCTTTCCGTGCTTTCCAATTCTATTTGTCTGGGCCCATATGTACAACTGTTGAACCGAAAACGAATAACTAACTCCATCTCTACTCCTTTTTAGAACGTTACAATGGATAGGACAGTTTTAGTCTAAATTAGATGCTATGTATGATTTCAGCTTTAATGTTTCACTTATCACTATACAAGGAAAATCGGTTCAGTCCGTATACGGAGCTCTCCGTCCAGACGCATGAATTATTCTCTGCTCACTCAAGACTTTGAAATGGACAACCATGAACATTAAAAGCACGAATTTTATTTCTGCCTGACATTTTGAATATGCTGTAAATATTGTACGAAACAATTGTAAAAGTTTGATTTGCCGAAATGGGCATGTAAATCTGAGAGCACACATTATTATTATTATTAGTATTATTAGTAGCAGTAGTAAAATCCACGCGTGATATGGCTACGACAGCTGAGCGTTGCCGTGACTCCGTGGAACCGTCTCATATGGATTTACTTGTCCGTGTTTGTTGGGTATATCAATGGTGTGGAACAGTTCCGAATCAATTGTGTCCCTAGCTGCACGTCCCTTCGAGCTAATTTCTTTTGATCTACGACGGATATGGGCCGCGTGTATGTGTGCATACCATTGTGGATGACACAGCGTAAGACATCCATTGGCCCTTTGTAGTTGCAGACATCCTGTGGTTGTCCACAGGAAGTGTATACCGCGAAACTAAAAATCAAATGCAGTCGTTCATGTGAATACAAGCCAGCTGGATAACTGCATACGATTAGTGATGAATGGCATCTCAGCGAACTATTAATGGTTATTGAAGTACCTAGTGACAAATTAACTCGCATGCATGATTACCTGTTTACTAACTCTGTTAGTAACCGTAGCGGCTATACCCCGATCTATGCTTGGGTTGAAATACAACCCACGAGCCTGGCAAATGGTTTTGAAGGATGCAGACGATATCGCAATCTTGGAGGATGCATGTAGCCGTTCCTCAAGATACCGGAACATATCAGGCTTGTCATGTCGAACAAAGTGACCCACATTCCGACTGAAACCGGTCAAACAAAGGATTTCGTCGCTTCGTTGCGCGTGCCTGCGAGCTCTAGGCCGGTATGATGCCCGTCCATAATGCAAAACTTACCAGCGCAGTTACAGGTTGTTAAATGCTTGCGCAGTAATGAATACGAGAAGTAGCAAGCAAATGAGACCCACCCACTGTCACAGGCGAGGGTCTTATCACCTTCACCACGTTTGTGCAGGACCTCAATGATCGAATGTGGTAAGGTTCACCATGATTGTTTCAACCCGTCAGAAGCGTATGCCACAGATCCAAGAAAGGCGAAAATGTGGTCACAACGGAATTCAGGGTGACTGCTTCACAGCACCGATGCAAGCACAAAATCCAGCTAGGTCTTGAGGGTGCGCTGGGCGCACAGATCGGCAGCAAGCTACCTTCAGTGGCACACAGTCCTAACTTCGTCGTTAAAGTCATCAAAACACCTGAACCTGAGTTCACTCGCGAAATTGGTCCGCTGATCCATCACACAAACTGCGAATGGTGCAAGGAGAGTTGGGCTCAGTAGAATGTGACGTGGAAAGAAAACAAGCGAATGAAAACGCGAAACAGATCATCAGTAGTCCGACATACCAGCGGCCGCACGTTTGGTCCCGGCCGGGATCGGGGTGGGTGGAGGTGGCATTCGTGGCTCCGCCGTCGTCACTGCTACATGAGATTCCGAGGATTGTTGGACACCGGATTCAGCGTTCTCATCAAAGGTGGACTGAGCGGTAGCATTGGCAGTTGGAGGGGGATTGGACGGTTGGAACAACGGGGCACCGGGGATGAACGTTTTGACTGTGGTAGCGTGTGAGTCGGTTCGGATTCCGTTGATCGGTTTACTCGGCGCAGCATTCTTTACGTTCGGATTGAGTGCTAAAGCAGGTAAGCGTTTGAACATATTCCGCGCCAACCGACGCTCAGACTGTGTGACCCGGCGATAGTCCAGAAAACGGAGCTAATCAAAGTTAAGCGGACAGTGTGGTTGAGAATGAGAGTGTTGCCGAATAGGGATCGGGGAAAACATAAAGAAGCACAGCATCGAGTCCACATCTTAACAATTCTGTTGCCTACATGGATGTACCCCAAGGGCAATAACAAAGAGATCTATGCTTGTGATAAACAGAAAGCGCATGTCTATGGGAATAAAATAAGTCCCGCGTGAGCTGGCCTAGATACACCAAGCAGAACACAGTAAGATAGAAATGCCGCCAGATGATTGCCGTCAGCAGTAGCGGAGTAAATCAAGAAGGTCGCGTTCAGTCGTTTATGTGGAAGGCGATGTGAATATCCTGCATGACAGTAGAAAGCGTACACGATTTCAAAACTTATCGAGACCGTAGCTTCTAGAATGATTCGAGGTGCATCGCAAGATTCCAAAACTTAATCAGTCCCCTTCTTCCATAAGCAATAGGGACAGTAAACCAGTAGTTTGGCTCAATTTCACCGATTGCATGTTAAGAGGCCATATATCACAAACAGCAGCTGTCGTCTGTAAAAAAAATTCCGGTAACATTAGAAATGTACTCAGATACTGTGAGATATCCATCTAACTATTCATCGGTGGTCAACGGAAGATTTCTCAAAGATTACCTAACAAAATGCGGTAGTGTCATATGACTAAGGAATTTCCAACACAAACTTTTGGTGATGGTGGTGAAACTACATTGGATACTCTGATCCACCCACAGTGCCGGTGCGTCCCTGACATACATCCATGACTAAGGGGTTCTATTGATAAGAGGGTCTAGTAAAACGGTAAGGTGTCTACACTGTTAAGGCACACACACGGATCTTTTGCGGTTCTCACTGCTACGTATCACGCTCACCCCGAAGATAATTCAGCCCACTCCACATACACACACACACACACACACCGTAGACGGGTTGTTTACCCAGAACACGACGGTAAACATGGCAGCAGGAATGGTTGCGAACCATATACCGAAATGTCTAGGGAAAGCATCGAATGAAACGCGTGGAGTTCAACCTGGAAAGCAAGATGGACAATCTTCTAATTTGGTCCCCATCACCAGGTCGACAAATGCCCACCTCGAACTTTAATTTATCCGATGCCGAATAAACGAGCAAAGAAGTTGTAAACCGGCGACGAGTGGTCGCCATGCTGAGTATTCCTGCAGTCGACGTAAGTTAATTCCGTTTATTGGTTCGGAGGAATGGTTGACTCATTAACGGATAGATAACCAAAACTCGTCTGAGTTCCCCATCGTTGCGAATGTACTGGTGATACTTGGCATAAGCAATTCTCTAAGGGCAGTAACGGTCAAAGACCCGAAAATGGCGGAAAACTTGTTGTGCTGTTGTGGTGGGCAAAAGAGGAACTACTACGCCAATAGTCAGCAGTCCGGGTTTTTACACACCGAACCCACCGCCTTCAAGACGGAGGAGAGGGCTATTATTGTGTCTAGAGTAGTGCAGATCCGCGAAACGGTCGAACTGTCTCCAATGTATGAAAATAACCAGCATGCACACGATCACTATTGACAGTGCAGCTACCGAAAAGATGAGCTGATCAACCGTCCAAAAAATCCTGATGGTCAACAGTCAAAGTTGTGGCAGCAATTGGCAGCAGTGTTTGATAAGAGATGCGACTACCCCGGAGGTATTCCGGGGTTAATTGCGGCGCTTCACGATGGTCGCTAATACAATGTACAGCAAACAGACTTCCGTTTGGCAGAGCCAAAGTGATTACGTGGTAAGACGCCACAATAGAATCAAGTCAGAAGTAGGGGGATGTGATGGCTCTAGTGAACTTCGTCCGTTGTCGGACTGGTGCCCAAAACTCGTAGTAGTTCAGCTGAATAAACGTGGTCCTTGCATCGAGGTGGAATGAGCCGACTTAGCACGACTCATGTCGGTAAATCTTAGCAATGCTGATACTAAGCGTAAGCAACAGATTGGCTTAAAAGTGCTTTAACAACGCAACTCCCTCGGCATCAATTCAAAAATGGGCCCGAGAGGCAGGAAACGGTGCTAAGTGCAAAGCAGATTACAGAACAACTAAGTACGCTTCTCAACGCTGTGTGCTGTCAAAAATATTCTGCAACAGTCACTTGCAATTCGAGCCGCATAAGCAATAAAGATGAGCTTGAAATGACGCGTGTACGAACTAACGGCGTCTCAATAAGCGGAATGCTAAGTTCAGCAAGGCAAACAACCACCCGTTCGAAAAGTACGGATGAATAGGTTGCACGGATAATTAACCCTCGCATTAATGTTCAGTGGAAACGGTTAAACAGAATATGAGTTACGGTTGCAGATGCAAGAAAACATAATCTACATTCCAATCTCAATGTTCGAACAGCGTAAAGGAACGGATAATTGACACAGTTGGGAAGATACGTGTGGTGCACTGAGGCGAATTCTCAAGTTGCAGATGAATCTGATTATTGTGGATATAGGAACAAGTTGACAGTTTGCTTAGGGATCCGTAGTTGAGAGGATGATCTCATCATATGAGGCATTCGTATATATATATATATATATATATATATATATATATATATATATATATATATATGTATATATAGCTTCCCGAGAATCAAAAAGCAAACGTGGCGTTAATAGAAAAAGCTGCTATTAGTGAAGAAAATGCTGTTTTACGCTGTACACGATTTTTAAGGTAGCGCACTGTCTTGAATAATTCTCGCAAAGCGTTTGCCAGAGATCACTGGCTCGCGCTGGTTGTTCATGCGCAGCTGTTTGGACTACGTCCAGGTTCGCTGGAACAAAGTTGCGCTCGGTTCACAATACCCCAAACCAACTCCGGGTCGTTCATCCAGGCCGTGCAAATTTAGTCACATTGCGCTTACGGTGCCGGTTGACTTCCCGTCTGTTGACACTGTCCGTTCCACTAATTCTGTCGACAGCCACCATCGCTGTCCTCCCAGAATATGTCGCGTACCAGCAACTTATTTGTCTTTGTCCAGGACCAAAGCCGTGCTTGACTCACAACATTACAAACCAATTCCGCACTATTCTTCAGTCCAGGGTAATCGTGTTCAGCTTGCGTTAGTGACGCGGAATGGCCTCTCGATTCACTGACCACGCGTCGGTTACACTCGTGTAACCAGCCAGCTACAATATCTTTCATAATACGCACGATAACTTAGGTGGAAAGAATACAAGAGATCACAATCCCTGATGGTCGGCTATCGTCCCCAATGGCTCAGTGGTACGAGTTGCTGGCTAGTGGTGCAAGCCATTGAGCATCATTGTATCGATCCCCCCTAACAGGGGACCGTCTTATCTTTGCACGATAGCCAGCTGTTTGTGACGGTATGTTGTCTACACAAGGTGTAGGCGCCTTAACCCTGAATGTTTGCTTAGAGAATTAAGGTTTTCAGGTAAGTCCCCCTTCTCTCCCTCTTTATATTCTTTATTTCATAGGTCCTCATGGTTGTATGGCAGCGAAGCATCAGTTCAGATGTCTGATGTACTGCTGCTGATGGTGATGATGAAAAGGGGACCGATGGAATGCGCATCATAGATGAGTCCCAAGAGGGCGAAACAATAGGCCGGAGCTCTTCCGAATAAGCAGTTCATCCTTGCGGCTTGTTAACTGACTGCGATGAACCAAATAAAATCATACTATCAGCAGGTATGTCTTCATGTGGCAAATCAAATTGCCCAACTGGATATTGGGTCTCTACCAACTCTCTGGAACTTATGGATGCTCGCCGACGTATTCCGGCAGGAAGCGATTACAATGAGGCTCGCAAAAACCTCAGGGCAAAACGACGTGCTAGCCTGAAGAAAAATCGCAAAGTCTGGTGGTCTCATCGTGCCTCTGAGATGGAAACAGCCGCTACCGTTGGTAATCATCGTGTTATTCCTTCTGATACGAGAACCAGGCAGCAGGAGACCTAGTGTTAGCGAGACCATACGCGACGAGAGTGATCAGCCGAACCAACGCCTGCCAAAACCCTTGAAGTGTTGGGCCAAACACGTTGCAAAGCAACTTAACCAACCTGAGTTATCGGTTTCCTCTTCGAGCGTTGAGCGCCCGTCTCTCTGGGTCGTCTCTTTGGATCAACCCTCACGCGCAGAAGTCGAACGTGAGATCGGACTGTTGAAATTGCATAAGGCCGCAGGAACAGATAGAATTCCCCCAGCTCTCTACAAATTCAGGGGACCTGCTCTTGTGGATGATTTATACTAGTTGCTAGTGAGACTTTGGGAGAAGGAGACCGTCCTGACAGACTGGAGCCGCGCCGACATTGCCCCAATTTACAAGGGAGGCTCCCGTTCGGAATGTGACAATCGTAGAGGGATCAGTCTGATTACAATTGCCTCTAAATTGCTTGCCACTGTCACTCTCCACAGACTGACTGGCACTAGTGGAAGCTAGATTTGTGAAGAGCAAGCCGGATTTCGTCGAGGTCGCGACTGCATCGACCACATCTTTACATTGCGTCAATCGTTGGAGCACCGCCATGTTTATTGGCGACCCACCGTCGTCGTGTTTCTTGACACAAAAGGTGCCTTCGACGCAGTTGAGTGACGTGCCCTTTGGGACTGTCTGCTGAAGAAAGGCGTGCCTGATAAATACGTAAACATTATCAAAGCGATGCACGCGCATACTTCGGGAAGAGTGAGGGTTTATGGCAAACTGTCGCCACCCTTCAGTATCACCAGAGGTGTGAGACAAGGATGCCCGCTGTCACCTTTTCTCTTCAACTTCGCTATTGATGAAGTCATGGAAACAGCGTTCGCTGGACACGACCTAGAAGGTGTGGAGCTACTTCCTGGTGAGCGAATCCTTAACTTGGAGTACGCGGACGATATTGCCCTAATCTGTGACAGCTCGCAAACAAGACAAGCTGCATTGGACTGAGTATCACTGGCTGTCTATCGTTTTGGGCTATGCTTTGCTCCATCGAAATGCAAAGTACTTCTCCATGCTTGGCAGGGAGTCACACCTGCGCTAACGCTTTGTGGTGATAAGCTAGAAGTCGTTCAGGAATTCAAGTACTTGGGCAGCTATATTAGCGCCCTTGGGATTGAAGATGAGGTTACGAACCGTATAGCAAAAGCTGGAGGTGCTTTTACCAATCTTCGCCAACTGTGGAGCATCAGTTCAAATGGCTGATGTACTGCGGTTGATGATGACGATGATGTGGAATAGACGCGACGTTACTCTTGACCTGAAGAGCAGAGTTTATGACGCAGCTGTCGGTTCAACTTTCCTATATGGTTATGAAACCTGGCCCATCAGGTCGACAGACATAAAGAGGCTAGTCACATTCGATCATCGCGGTCTTCGCAATTTAGTCGATGTCTGGTGGGAGCACCGCGTGAGCAATGCGCGTGTTTGGCATCGCGCATTCGGTGCAGGAAGAGAGAGTGAACCGTTCAGCACCATTATATCACGCACCAGGCTCCGATGGCTGGGCCACGTATTACGTATGCCAGTACAGCGACTTCCGTGACGTGCATTGTTTGCGCGCCGGGAGTGCGGTTGGAAGATGAAGAGGGGAGGCCAAACGATGACTTGGTCGAGAGAGATAAAAATCTTCACTTCGAAGTTGGCGTCGGTTGGTGAATCCTGACTGCCTGGCTAGGGTCCTAAGGACGATGAACACGTTTGGTTGGACACACTTGCTGATATGGCTAGGAGCCGGCCCCAATGGGGTTTGTGTTGTGAGTTCCTTTGTCCATCCCCCTCCTGCTTAGCCTCTCCCTCCAATCACGATCGCATTCGTTAGGCATAACATAAGTTTTTGCGGCACGATAACCGGCTGTTAGCTCTCCGGGACGATGTCTATCCGCCGGCGTACCACTGCCTTTTTTCTTCTTGTCCTTTGTATTGCGGCACAATAGCTAAGGTGTTTTTCATCTGCAGCTGACGTGGATAATGATGATGAAATAAAATCATGCCTAGATCCGTCTACTCATCAGTAATCAAATGGAAATCGTCAGATGGAATAGAGAAGAATCATACATAAGGGAGCGAAAGTCACCAATGGACTGTGTTATGTCCACTAAGATGTGTAACCACTGACGTAGCTAGACCCGAATTCTCATCCGGGAAGACGGAAGATGCCAACCCAGAGTAGCTCCTCGGTGAGCTTCTACATGCAATATTGCGATGTTCTTGATGGGCCAGCTTGGAGCCCCGCTCACCTGGGCACGGTAGTAGTAAACGACATATGCTGAGGCGGTTGGCTTGCATGTATGCAGAAAACATGACCAAGTCAGCGGAAGTAGATTGTGTTTAACAGACAATCCGGGTCAGTACTAGAGGGCCCGTTGCTGAATGCCAAAGACGAGCTTGGGTATTGGTCATTCAAATCGCCCAACAGATATGCAACAATTCACATACCACCATTATCGAAGTAGGTAAACGATGTTTGTGGTCAATGAGGCGTCTGGCATGTGGGACTCTACCCGCATCGATCGCCATCCTTTAAGGACAGGCACCAGATATATGATAGCGTATAGCTGATCATCCAGCACTACACCAAGAAAAAACAGTGAGGAAGCAATTACATTTGTCAAGTCCGTGCCAAATGGTTTCGAATGGAAGAGGTTTTGTAATGAAACGCGTTTCATATACACACGTCGCGAGCGCTGAGAAAATTTATCAGACGTAACTAAGTCAGATATGAGACCACGGTCTTAACACAAAAAGAAATCAAAACAAAGGATTTGAAAGGCGTCCCCAGGTGACGCCATAATGAAAAGCAGTGTAGACGTAAAATCGCACAACGGTTCGTGGAAAGCCCAATCAAGTATCTTAAAAGGTAACCAGTGAAATTGCGACCCAAGTGAGCAAGTCACTTCTATCAAACAACTATGACACGAACACTGCCAAGAAACCCACAATAACTGCACATAGCTGGCCTTCTCATCGGCAACAGATTTGTTGGGGGAACTCGTCGTATGAGTGAAAATTGTGAGACGCGATCCCAAATTGGGCCACAACTCACCTAGAGGTAAACCATGGCCAGTTCAGTCACCGTAAGTTGTTGAAACAAATACCACATGCAGTGCGTCTGGTCATCTCAATGAGAAGAGTGTAAATAATCCGATAGCTGGTCGTATAGTGCGTGCTACATGATTAGTGCGTGCTACATGATACGCCAAGGTTGTGAGGGTGGCTAAGACCTGAGGCGAATGGAAACCATGCGGTACCGATGGACCGGGAACCAATCAGACGTCACTGAGGAGAGATGAGCACGCACAGCTTGTCCAGTCCAGCAGAAAGGAGACAACGTGTCTTCGGACAGTTGACAAACGGATTGGTCCGCCGGACGGCGAGCAGATGACATACACATGAGTCCAGGTTAACAAAAAGGCCGCTATGGCAGCTGGCTAGCTGAGGGAGCAACGGCCGAGTGAATGGATGACCGATCGGACGCCACTCATGAGGGCTGATCGTGCAGTCTATCCGGAGTGGCAGTAACGAGGCCCAATGTAACTCTAGACAGTGTAAGCATGGATCGGCTCATGTGGAGAGTGAACAAGAACTAATGAAATGTAGCCAACGGCATAGGCCAGTTAACAAGGTCCGGCCAGTAAAACGAACTACGACACAATAGTGAAGTTAAGTTATGCACTCTATAAATAACCTCGAAGCTACTTAAAAACGATTTTGCGATCGCCGTCCGGACTTTGTTTTGACTCCCGGAGGGTTAATAGATAAAATTCATGTGAAATGAAGATCGTAATTTGATAATTAAAACTTTCCAGTATCGTGTAAATAGGTGCAGAAAGCAAACACAATGGTAGGCTGCAAGTAAGGTTGGACTCGTTAAACACAAACCGCGTCATGTGATGACAGATATGAAAAGGGCAACTCACTGAGTCGATACGGCTGATAACGAAGAGCCGGTAGTTTGCCCGCATTGTGACGGGACAGTGTAAGAGACTGAGAAAGGTCAGCTTTTCAAAGGTGGACAAGGGTTCTAATTCTCGAAGTTCGGAAAATCCATTCCCAGTGAGAATCAATGTGTTCACATTTGGTATTTGCTGCCCGATGTCTTCTGCCAAACGAACAATCTAGAAGGAAAACGAACGTTGATCGCGTATCGGAGGCGCACGGGACAATGGCGACAAAAGTCAAAAGACAAGGTGATGAGGGTAGCATCAATGTAACTTGACTCCTGTGCCTAGGGAAAAACAGCAACCAACTGCATTAGGAGAAACAAGGGCCCTGAGGGTTCGAGAGAGTAGAGTAGAAAGATAACAAGGAACAAGATGTAAATGTACACCGTGATCAGGTGTGAAACGGATTCACGATCGGATGACGCTAGTTGGCCTCAAGGTCACCTAATATATACAGCCCCTTTATTTCATTAGATTCGCGGACCAGCCCCAACTCGGGTCTGCTGAACGCCAGTCGCTTGACGAGTCGGAGGCAAAGTGTATATCAAAGAAGCAACTAAAACAGATGGAAAAAAGCGGATGCAAATAAATCAGGAAGTAGCTAAGTAGGATTTTACTCCTATGAACCAACTGCCACAGTAGTCGGACACAAGATCAACGTGCTACGATGATTTCGATAACCTTCATAATCCACTGGGCCATACCAAGTGCCTTAAAGTCACTCATTTGGACTAGAGAGGTCGGAAAAACCCGACCCTACCATGCGCCATGCTAAAAGATCGGAAAGTTCAGTGGTTCTTTGCTATCAAGAATAAATCAGGGGAAACAAAAGTTGTGGTATATATATATATATATATATATATATATCCCTCCAAATCCGGTGGCTGAAGGGATGGAGGCTTCTGTGGAAATTCCATAGCCTCGGACTCGAGTGCCTGCAATCTCTATATAATGGGAGTAAACAAGTTCCAAAACGGGTAGTGGGGTGCAGTTTTCGAGCGGACAACACCAGATTGCCATATGCAACAATAGACTGGCTGTGTTTAACCACAAGTGTCTATCAAGCGGCGCTCATATCAAAGGCAGGCACACAATGCGTATGGCCGACACATGACGTTTGGCCACAAAACCAGTGGACATAGCACTGGATTGTCTGCTGACCACGAGGGAGTAGCGTGTGTTAGACATTGTTTTTAGTATGATATTGGACCTCCTCCTCCTCCTACTACTACTACTCCCTACTACTACTGTCGGAGTTTGGTAGTCGTCCGTTTTAACATACTACAATGGTTCATATAGGTCCAGATGGATTTCTATGAAGCGTACACCAAACTCAAGTGAAGCAAATCGCTTTCAACTACATCGCCATGTGATGACAGTTATGAACAGAGGGAAGAAATGGCGAATAAGCAAACGAAAGTCAAACGAAAAAGGTCGATAAAGTGAGTCACAACTACCGGAGCAAGAATTGTAGAAATAGGGTTATAGTGGTCATGAGTGATTGGATCTGAACGTTCCGTGTGGATGCTTGGGCGGAATGAAAATGAGGATAGTGTGGATCAAAGCAATAAAGAAACACTGTGGTTTCAGACGCTGACTGCAAAGTGTGCTGGGGGAATGAAAGCAGACACTGTTCTCAGAATCTCTGCGGAAGGCAGCCCCTAGTTTGCAGACTTTTAATCACATCGGTGGAATCGGATCCGGCTAGGCGGACGTTAGACAGGCACTACAGCGGTAGATGGATTTACTGACGACTAAAACAGGAGCTCCTGGTCGGTCTCACTCTCCAGAATGGAGTTCACGCGATCCATCGTTCGGAGCCAGCATTAGTGGCTAGCTCCAAGTCGAATCACCTGTCTAGACTGCCTCTAATGCTGAGTTATCTTCGGAGCAAAATTTACCATTACGCGGATCCGTGAATCTAGCAAGGAAACTGTTTCGCCCATGTGGAATTATTTTAGCAAAATGGCTAGTTGTTTCTAACTACGTGGTAAAGTCAAGTCAAGTCAAAATAGGCTCTACGAACCCGACTGGAAACCATTTCAGCCTTTATCACCAGCTTTGCGGATGTAGTGAGGAATAACTAGCCTGAAAGTGTAAGCAAAGCGTAGAAAAGAGAAAATATACATGCACATCACCCCAGTAAGCTTTCACGTGTGGTGCTGATAAATTTCTTGGAGTCCACAAGAAAACTGGATAGATACGGCAGAGTCGTGATAAGGTGTTGCGCAAAAAACAACACTCTCCATTTAGAGCGGATAGGCAAGCAGAGAGCTTTAAATAAATCAAGATGAAGAGAGAGTTCCATTTAAAATGTTTGCTGAACAGTTATCACTTGTACTTGTGCTTAGTAACGAGGAAGTCAACCAGAGACTAGACAATCCCCTAAACGCTTAGTGGAATACACAATCAATGTGAAGTCCTTTTGTAGAAGACCAGGAAAAACGACAGGTAAGCAATAAAACCACTAGGGAAGAATATAGGCAGTCACGAAGTTGTAAATTAAAGAGCAGGGTACCGAAAATATTGTGTCTGAGGATAGAATGATAATCTGCAAACATTGTGGTATGTTTCTTTAACTTGTATTGACCAAGACAGATTGTGAGATTACCATACATTCAGGTACTTAACAGTGGATGAACTAGGTATGGTGTGGTCGCTTACGACCATGGGGCGAGAAGTGTTTGCCACAGTCAGACATTTAACAGTATGGAGAAAGGGGTAAGTTACGTCGCGGTAATTAGAAGCGTTGAGAATAAAGAATCGGGACGACGACCATTGCTGAAGCTCACTCAACCTAATTTGGAGAGCTGTTGAAGAGTAAGCAGTTGGAACAATGCTGCCTAAGACAGTGCCGTCAGCGTACTTACATCCAAAAAGGTTCGGGAGGGGGGGAAATTGGAAGTATTTCGATGTATAGAGAGAACAAAAGAGTGGAGAGGATTGCTCCTTGTAAGACGCCCCGGTCATCACTAGGAGTGCAGGATTTTTTTACTGTTTAGCTGGGTCAAATGAGATCGGTTTACGAAGTAGTTACTCATCAGGTTGCACACTGCTGGTTGAACACCATTCGCAGACAGCTGATTGAGCAAGATTGCTCTGTCAACATTAGTAAAAGTATTGGTGTAGTCAAGGAAGGGGAGCCGTACATTCTTGCAATTCGCACTCAATGAAGATGCTATAAACTGAACAAGGTGTGCCACGGCATCCAGCATAGAACGTCGGGGTCCGTAAGTAAACTGATGTAGGTCTACGGCCGGATTGTTTGTTGTGGTCCAAGGCATAAGTGGTCGCTCGAAGGCTTTCAGTATGACGGATGTGCAGGCGATCGGATGGTATTTTGTGGACCCCTTTAACACGGGTGTTATCCTGACAGGCCTCCAAATGTCGGGTATAATTCCACTGGGTAGGCACCGACTAAAAGTTTCATCAAAGGCATGGTGACGGTATTGGCACACTCTTACAAGACAACTGGTGAGAGAGCATCACGTCTACTAACCTTTCTTGAGTTCAGATTCTTGAGTTGTTGCTAACATTGTGTAGGCGTCGTGACTCTGAATGTCTGTTTAAAGCGTTTGGGCTTTATACTAGGTTCTTCTCCTCTCCCTTTAAATATTCTACGCTCTTTGTGGTTGTACGGTAACAAAGTATCAGTTTAAATGACTGATGGACCGCTGTTGACGATGTTGATGACAGGCACTGCTTTCGTGTGCACATGTTTCGGGGTCACAATACACCATCTGAGGTATGTAGACGGAAAATATCAGTAGTACAGTAGATAGCCTTGCGTCGATGCTTCGCTGCCACGCAACGACAAGCCGCAGCGTGCGGGCTGGGATACTGAGGTTCAAACCAATGGCCCGCAGATTACAAATCAAGTGTTTGAACCATTTCGTCAACAGGCTTCTTGAGGATTCGCAGCTTCAGTATTCACCTTAAAAAGCTAACTCATGAAACAGGAGGTTAAAATAAAAGATTGTTTCGAGGACTCAATTCAGAGTCATTTGCTCGACGTATTGGGAAGTGGGAGCCGTGGTAAGCTAGGATGGGACTGCACAGTGCCGTAAAGATCTACTTAGACTTGCCCCTAACAACGTCGCAGAATTCAGAACAATTTCATATACGTTCAACCAGCCTCAGATGAGTTTGTGAGGACTTGCACCCCAATGGTAAGAGCCGCCTTGCATGGGATACGAAGCGGCAAAGTAATGAAGAACGCTCTTGCTTTCTAAACATCACGAACAACATGCGGTGTTTAAGGTCTAAGCAATAGGATTGGGCATACAACTACCAAATTATCACCTCCTATGATTGATTTTTATGGACATGGCCATTGAACTCTCTTTAACTTCCAATGAGTAAGTAAGGCTGGGTTCAGCTGACCTTCAACTGCTCGTCTATCTGAAGTGAGTGGCTCTGAAGGCACTTGGAGACTGTCAGTTACTGTAACTAAGCGGATCGTAAACGCATGTAAACCATCGCTTTTACCCAAAGGTTAGTCCAATCTCAAATGAAATCCATTACCCAATCCAAAATGACATCCACCAAATTCGGTACGGATGGGTCCCATGTCAGACAGTTGAAAATATAGTGACGCATCATCGTCATTACACATTAGCTGAAGATGGAAAAGACACTTCAGCTAATATACCGTAATACAAAAAGATAGGATATATAAAAAGCGGAATACAGAACGTTACAGAATAAAATATGCAAAAAAGGAGCATGATGCATAATATCATAGTACGCATCACGTGTGAGAACGTGATCGGGGCTGGAAGATAAGCGGGATGAAGAGGGACAAAGAAACTCACAACAAGAACGCCACTGAGGCCGCCCCTTCACCATGTCAACAAGTGCATTTCATGAAACATGTTCAATGTCTATCGGACTCCATCCTGGCAGTCAGGACATACCAACTGACGCCAAGTTCGAAGCGATGGACTTCATTCCTCTTGATCGAGTAACCATATAACCTTCCCTCCTTTCATCCACACCGCGGGTACGCAAATAACGCACGACCCGAGAGTCAATGTGCTAGCATGCGCGACACGAGCCCCAACCATCGCAGCCTGGTGCGTGAAATAATGGTGTTCAGCGATTCACTCGCTCTTTATGCACCAATCATACAACACCGAACACAGTCACTGCTCACGCGATGTTCCAACTAGAGGTGAGTTAAGTTGCGAAGGCAGTGATGATCGAACGTAACTAGCCTGTTTATGTCTGTCGATTTGATGGGCCAGGTTTCGCAACCGTAAGGGAGGATTGAACGGATGGCTGCGTTATAAACTCTGGCCTTCAGGGCGAGAGCGATGTCGCGCCGATGCCATAGATAGTGATTGGCAAAAGCACCTAGGGCCCTTGATATACGGTTTACGATCACAACTTCAATTCCACCGGCGCTGACACAACTACCTAGATACTTGAATTTATCGACGACTTCTAGCTGGGCTCCGCCTAGAGTCAGCGCAGGAATGGGTCCCTGCCAATCTCGGATGAAGACTTTGAATTTTGACGGTGCCAAGCGTGGCCCGAAACGAACTACAGCCAATGCTAATTTGTCCAGTGCTACTTGGCAAGTTTGGGAGCTGTTACGGAAAAAGGCAGTGTCGTCGGCGTATTCCAACTCGAAGTCGATCACTTCGGAGCAGCTTCACAACTTGTAGTTCGTGTCTAATGAACGAAGGTTCCATGCCTTCATCGATGGCGGAATTAAAAAGAAAAGGCGACAGCTGGTTACCTTGTTTCACACCACTGGAGATATTGAAGGGCGGTGATAATTTGCCATAAACCCTCGCTCTATCCTAAGTATGCGCGTAGAGCGCTCCGATAATTTTCACGTATTTCTCTGGCGCATCTTTCCTGAGTAGCCAGTCGCAAGGGGCACATCGACCAACCGAAACGAAGGCACTTTTGATGTCGAGAATCACGAATACGGCAGATCATCAATATAAATGGTGGTACTCCAACAATTGACGTAATGCGATGTGATCGATAGAGCCACAACTTCGAGGAAACCTTGCTCGTTGCTCAAGAATCTGACTTTTACCGGTTCCACACAGTTTATGGAGGACGACAGAAGCAAGTAACAGAGAGATCAGACTGTTTCCTCTATGATGGCCGCATTCTGAACGGGAGTCACTTTTGACAAATGGGACTATATCGGAGCGGCTCCAGTCTGCTGGAACAGACCCCTGCTCCCATAGAATCACAAGTAGGTAGTGCAAATCATCCACAAGAGCGGATCTACCGACTTTGGCTCGATGAAATTTAGCTGCTCCGACGGTTCAACTTCAACTGTCTGATTTCGCGTCCAACTTCTGCGCGCGAGCGCGGATCCAGAGGGACAGACAAGGGAGTAGGGCGATCGGTGGCCGATAGATAAGCTGGCAGTTCAATTAGAACTGCCTCTCAAAGTGTCCGGCCCAGCACTCCAAGTACTTTGACAAGCTGTGGATCGGCAATCCACTCTCGTCGCATATAGCCCCACTGACAGCAGGTCTGCTGACCGTTTCTCGTATCAGGCGGAGCAACTTACGATGGTTACCAAGAGAAGCGGATGCCGAGACACAATGAGAGCACCACGCTTCGCGGTCTCTCTTCATGCTGGTGTGCAATGTTGCCATGAGATCTTTGCAAGTGTCATTGTGTTCGCTTCTAGTCGGAACACGTTAGCGAGCATCCATGTTGCAGAGTCTATGTAGAGACCGAATGCATAGGTCGGTAATTTGGTTTACCACATGGCGAATATGCGACCGAAGATTTTCAGCTGTGTTCAGTGAGCGATTATTCAGATTGGATACGGCCGTACCGCTGTACTGGCTTTGCCAATATCTATGCACTCGTAGCGCCGTTGCGGATGTCTGCCGAAACGCACCCGCAAGTCGGTGCATAAAAGTATATGGTCGGAGTCTACGCTCGTACTCCAAATTTAGCGACAGCCTTGAACGCATCCTTCCCAGCAGTAATTGATCGCGATGTGGTCGATTTGCGCCTATGGCTGCAGGGCGTCATGTCACTATGTAACGGGTGCTGTGTCGGAAGTTAGTGCGCGTGAGAAATGGAGGGCATCTTCACACAGATGTAGCAACTGCTCATAGTTACAAGTACGGGAGGCTACACCGTGTTGGACGCCTAAATGCAGCTCATCAGTAGACAGCTTTCCTATCTAGTTATGGCAGTATGTGAAATCACAGCAACAACGGGCATTACCCTGAACAAGGAGGCCAAGGTTGATTCACGTGGTATTCAATGGATTGCATCAGAACCCTACATTAGCTGCTCGGTCACATCCTCTGCTATGCTCCAAGATGTTCGAAGAGGAGAAAAGTCCTCATGTACGTGTTTTCATGGTCAGCTAATGCATTAACTTATTATGGGGCTGGGGCTTCATGATATCATTCGCCAAGTTATTAGTTAGAATATAGATAATAAGTTACGTCAAAAAGTACAACATCGTGCATGACGTATGAAACATGAGTTGGTGGTTTAAATATGCACCATATAATGCAGATTCGAGCGGTATGACGAGAATAGACAGAAAACAAACTCGAGTTTCACCGCAATGGACCAACTAACCTTGTTGTTCGTTAAGATGACGCATCTTAGACGCTTGAGTATCGGGAAACCGTCCAATTTCCGTATCTCATTGTCTGATAAATCAATCGTGTCAAACTGATCCAGTGTACTACCAAGATTCTCTACAGCGGGGAACTTGTAGCCACGAAGATCCAGCTCTCGATCATGAATTGCATTGGTAAACTGAGGAGCATTTTCCACCAGCTCAGGAGTGATACGGACCATAGTAAGGAATAGGACAATGTACAGGCTGCAGGAAAGTGAAAGTTATAGAAGGGTCGTAAAAATAGATGGCGAGGAGTTCAAGGGAATGTGAAGCAACTGCATAACTTCACCTTAAGCCGAACAGTCATCGAGACATTGGGAGGAAGTTCCGAATGAATCCGCTCAAATTAAAGCCACGAATAAGGGACATAAAGAAAATTCAAGGTCTTATAGTAATAGCAGTTTACTGAATAGACACAAAGGCAAACAAAACCATGGGAATCACTGGAAGAAGACAGGCTTAATAAACGCATCATCATTATGGCAAGTTAGCTGAAGGCGAGAAACACACTACGGCTATCGTGCCGCAATAAAAGAAAAAAGGAGCCTTTTTCGTTATTTCGCGAACGTCAACTTTTCAGTTTTTGTCTTTTTCAATCGTTAAGCCTCTAGATCTAAACCTTTATTTACGCAGATCCTCCACTGGTTTCGATTGCGCGCCATATCCTGAATTGTTTCCAGCCATCGGCACTCTTCGTCCTTTGGTCCCCAACCAGGCAGACGTGTGGATCCAACGGCAGCAAGACGTGAAGTTAACGATTTCATATGCTGTCGCCAAGTGGACGGCTGACTGCCACGTGGTCTGTTCCAGCCAAGTCCTGCACGAGCGAAAAGAGCGCAGTGGGGCAAACGCTCAGCTGACATGTGCAGGACGTGACTGAGCCATCTTAACTGACGCAGCAAAATGAGCTAGTTGAAGGGAATACTCGCATGCGCTAAGACGAAGTGTGACTTCAGTGTTGCAAATGCGTTGTTGCCACCACACATGAGCCATCCTCCTCAAGCACCCGCTGTCGGCCATGAGCCGGTGTATGTCGTCTGCGCGAACCGGCCATGACTCGCTTCCATATGGTAACATCGCAAGAGCCGTGGTATTGTACACGTGACCCTTTACCAGTGGGGAGAAATCCCGACGACGCCATTGTGGTGGTAAGATGTCACATTTAGCTGTCAGTTTTTTTAGCCATCGATCGAGCTAAAGGATTTTGGGCCAATACTCTGAAAGATGGTCGATCGCTACAAGTGGCGAACTGAAGGATAGTATGCAAATGATTTAGATCGACATGAACGAAGCTCGAACGCTGACCGAGAATGAAATAGCAAGAATATGTGTTCTATATTTGTGAGTGGTTCTAATCGACGCGAGATATAAAATGAGCATGTGTCCTATGAATAATAGATTTCTGGTCAGGGCCCAGACGTTGGTTTTTTGCTTCACGGTGGGTCACTTGACATGGTGACAGAGGTGCTGACGCATTTGATGTACAAACGTTGATTAAATTGCCGCATCCTCTGCAAATGACAGAAAGCACATTACCGGATAGCTGGAAGACGTGGAAAGCGAAATAGATGGATTTCGCTATGCTGATCGCCTTAGATGAATATGCGAGATCATATCAAATAGCGATGTTCAGGTACTGCATCCGCAAAGATGCGAGACGGATATTAGAAGCCTGGAACTTCTACGATTATGACGAAGAACTGGATCTTTCAGAAATAATCGAGTGGTTTGGTGATTTATGTGAAGGCCGATCAAATCTTTTCGCTCGATGCTGCAGATCGACTAACGTTAGCTCACTTTCTATCGAAAGTCGACAAGAAAAGCAAGATATTTTAATAGACAACAGATGGGATAGCGAGGAGCATGGATGGACTATTGCGACGCCGTCAATTCAAGGACGATCAATACCGTTAAGACTTGACTCAAGAGCCACCGTGAGTAAACTGTTTGACAAAAGCTGCATCGGAGTGGAGTGCAGTGTAGCACAGAGTTGTCACAAAGGGTGGAACAACTTGATGATACATACGAAAGGAGAGGCTATGGCAAAGGTTTTCAAGAAGGCAAAGAATTGACTTATCAAACTCTGAAAGACACATACAGATGCTTAGGTAATGCTACATAGAAAAAATACCCCTAGACACTTCGGTAACAATCCGGTGCAATTTCTATTCAAGCACAAAGCAAACCGGAAGCTCGCCCGCAGTGGAAGAGGCTACGGAAACTGCAACACACGAGCTACGAAAAAAAAGAAAAATGGGAGGATGTGGAGGCGAGGTGCCACATTTAGATGCCAGGTTTTTAGCCATCGATGGAGGTAAACGATTTCGGGCCAACACTCTGAAAGATGATCAATCGCTACAAGAGGCGAACTGAAGGATAGCACGCAATCGATTTAGATCGATATGAACGAAGCTTAAACGCTGGTCGAGAATGAAATGGCAAGAATATGTGTTCTATGTTTGTGAGTGGTTCTAATCGATGCGAGACAAAATGAGTGTGTTCTATAATAAATTTCTGATTGAGGCACAGACTTTGATTTTTTGCTTCACGGAGAGTCACTTGACATCCACAGGTATTTTAAATTGACAAAGACCGACTGAGTTTTGTCGATCCGAAAGAAACTTCCTTTCCAATGGTAGTACCAGCAGACACAGCTGCCTACGTAGACAAAGCTATCCACTTATTCAGACTTTCTACCTTCTATAGTAAACATGAGGACGGGGGAGTGCCAATCCTGAAGCAGCACTGAACTTTGACGGGGCAAAGCACATTCCGTACTTAGATGACTCAATTGCCAAACGGTGCAGAATGGTTCGTATGCTTTGTGAGCAGTCACCAAGTAGGAGGATAGCATCGGCATAATCTAAGTCGGTCGGTTGCTTTCACGGAAGTAGCTGTAGACTAAAATTTTGGTAACCGTCTAGAGCTCTCGACAGGACATCTTCAATCGCAGAATTGAAGAGGAACGGGGAGATAGGGTAGCCCTATCGTACACCGCTATTAGCAGCGAAGGACGAAGAGAGCCTGCCAGAGACCCTCACTCTCGGAGATGTGGAGGTAGAGTGCGTGTAGGATGGCAGTGTACTTTTCTGGGACCCCGTTCATTAGCAAACAATGTCAGCGCAGATCGATCAACCGAGTCGAATGTAACATGGATGTCAAGAAATGCGACGATGGTAGGCCTCTGGTAAAAATGGCGGTGTTCTATGATTTGGCAAAGCGTGAATATCTGATCCACACACCGGCGGCCAGGTCGGAAGCCAGCGTGTTCTTCCTGGTACTGCGACTCACGAATGGAAAATAGTCTACGGAGTAGAATGGATGCCAATGATTTGGGGGCAATCGAAATGAGACTAATCCTCTGGTGATTAGTGCAGTAAGTGCGAGTACCCTACTTAAAAATCGGGACAATAACCGACTCGTCCCAGGAAGAAGGCAGCTTTTCTTCATGCCAGAGTTTGGAGAACAATGATGTTAGCTGGCTGAGAATAACTGCGCCTCCATACTTGAACAACTCAGGAGGAAGTTCATCTGAGTCGGCAGTCTTGAATCATTTCAAGTATCGAGTCACAAGACAAACTTCCGTTTCGCTGGGTGGATCAAGGGTGACGATCCATGGCAGACAGCTTGGTTCTCAGGGCATACAAATGGACGGTGAGGGCCAAATGAACTGGGAATGAAAGTGTTCGGAACATCCATCTGTGTCTCTGTAGGTTGGCGATAGGCGAACCATCCACTTCGTAAATACTTTCACTGACAGGGTTTTTGTAGCCAGTGGATCTAATGAGCTAGAATAGCTTGTGAGTATTTCCAGACAGGGCAGCGGTCTCCATTTCCGAAGCACGCTGAGACCACCAGGCTTCACGATCACTGTGTAGGCTTTGTGTAGTATAATTGAGCAATCAGAGAGACCAGAGAGTGATGAATCAAAACCTGGGAAATCAGGCTTTATTCATCTGTGAATAGAGACGAGAGCTAAAAGTGTAACGGATAAGAGAACTGTTGTGACAATGACACGTATGCAAAGGTGAATAATATCACACGCTGATTGAGCTGCTGACTGACAGAACGGCGCACTTCATTATAATTAGATTCCGCAAGGATATTTCTGGGGCGGTCAGATAGATCCAAAGAACGCGTAGAGATCCAGATCTTCATAGGGCGCTGAGTAAGACAACAGACTAAGTGCCCAGAAGAGATCATACTCCTTTGAATGAACGTCCAGTGTTCATTAATGTCTTGCGGTGGATCGCCACAGTGTACCAGCCAGGTAAGATTGATAGCTTTGCCGAACCGAGACAGTGCTTCGTTTTCAGGGATCCTCAGAAACTCATGCAGTTGGTCGCACAGACAAGAGATTGGTCTGAGTCAAGAAAAGTGACCAGATGGATCTGCAATCCTTTACAATACCCCGCCATCTGAAACTAATTGCGATATGATCAATCTGAGACCATGATTGAGACGCAGAAGAGGGTTGCCATGTGTCGGAACGTCTCATCGAATGCCAAAAGCTGGTACTTGAGAGAAACGGGTGATTATCTTTGCACAGTGTGAGAAGTCCCACTCCATTATGTAAGCGGCTCGCACCGAGCGCATGGTGACCACCGAGGTGACTTTCGCAAGATAAGTGGTGACCGATTCGTGCCTTGAGATCCCCAGTAGAGATAACAATATTGGATTAGGCTCTGCTCCGGAGCTAGTGAAGTTCCCGGTAGAAATGGCCCTTAACCGTATCGGAACTACAGTCAGTTGGAGCGTAAGCTGAGATCACATACAAGTTGCGTTTCCCCTCACGACATCTGATGATCCCGCGCAACCCCTGAAGCGGAAATACACACAGTCGGCTGTTAATCGGGGACCAGTCCAGCAGTGCGACCTAGGCTTTGCCACTTAGCGATACACCAACGCCAGTCAAACTTCCTGCAACCACTTCTGTATCACTATAAACGCGAGTGAAGTATGGGTCCGTGGTCAGTGGGAGATCCCAACTTACATACAGTACTGGATTTTGTAAGCGCGTTTTGGAAAGACAGCAAACATCGATGTCGAGAGATTCCAAAGTGCGCGCAAGACCAGCTTACTGTCCGATCTGCCTGAGTGTACATACATTGAAGCATGCCAGACGGAACGAAGACCGAGGCCGAAGGACTGCGACTGGGCGAGCTCTCTGGGTGTCGACGAAACCATCGGGAGTAGAATCATGAAAACA